CCGGCGTGCAGGTTTTCCCTGTGATAAAACGTCACGATGAGGCGGGCGATGTGCGCTTCTCCAGGAATGACTATGGGCATTCTGGCGTCGTCACTCAGGGCAGAGTGGCGAAGTCGTCCCCCCACTCGAAGCAGACCACGAGAGTCGATGAACGGGTGGAGTTTACGAAGACGTTGCGTAGCGGGTTTGTCAGCGCCCAACAATTTGAAGTCCTCGGCAAAGTAAACTTCTTGGGTGGCTTTAAGGATCCAGGATTCTGCGCCTGCAAGTTCTGCTGGCTGTAAAATCCCCGTGGGACGCGTTCGGAGACGTGTCGCGGAAAAGAAGCGGAAAACGTACGCCATGACGCGCACAGTTTTAGTCCACGTAGAAAATAGCGGGATGCCTAAGTTCTGTGGAGCCACGGTTGCTAGCAGGACTGTGGCTGCGGGTAAGACCCCGGGTAAATCCTTTTCTGGGATAAGATCCGGGAGCGGTGGCCACTCGCTCTCTGGGAGGGTCAGCCATGGTGGGCCTTCCCACCAGAGCGGGTGCGCGGGAAGCTCAGAGGGTGGGATTCCTCTAGAGGCGGGATCGCTGGGGTTAGACTCTGACGGCACGTACTTCCAGGTAACGGACGCTGTTGTGTCTCGAATCTTCCCTACTCTGTTAGCGACGAACGTGTCGAGTCGGCTATTCGATGCTATCCAAGATAGCACAATCGTGGAGTCAGACCAACCTACGACTTTTTTTGGAGCAAAGTCCAGTAGTAGAGGTAGATAAGCTTCAAAAAGACGAGTCAGGAGTACAGCTGCGCAAAGCTCTAGCCGCGGAATTGTGACTTCCTTCTTAGGGGCGACGCGAGTCTTGGCGATGATTAGCGTGACTTTCGCTGTGCTTGCGGTTTCGTTAGCGGCGGAGCGGAGATACAGAGCGGCGGCGTACCCACAGATGCTAGCATCACAGAAACCGTGAATCTGATAGCTAGGGGCGGGGCGGTGCATCAAACGCGGAACGGTGACCTGTGTGAGTGCTGAGAGTTCGGCGGTGAAAGAGTCCCATCTCTGCTGTACGTTGGGAGGGAGCGGAGTGTCCCAATCTAGCGGCAAGTTCCAAAGCTCCTTGATGAAGGTTTTGGCGCCTAAGACGACGGGGCTAAGCCAGCCGCAAGGATCGTAGATGGACGCCACAACGGACAACACTCCTCTCTTTGTCCTGGCGTCTGTGTCCAAGCGAATGAGGTAGGTAAAAAGGTCTCTCTTGGACGCCCAGTGCAGTCCGAGAAGAGAGTAGCGTGGATTTTCTGGGTCGTCGAGGAACGGGCACTCCAGATCTTCGGCTGGGACTCCTTCCAGCACTCGTGCGTCGTTGGAGGTCCATTTGCGGAACCGAAATCCCCCTTTGGAGGCGAGTGTCTCTATCGCTACCTTCCTGTTCTTGGCAGCTTCGACGGTGGAGGCTCCAGTTAGCAGGTTGTCGACGTAGACCTCTGAGGTGAGCGCTTTCGCGGCGTCAGGATCCTCTTGACCGTAATCGGTCGCGGTTTGTTGCGTGGTGCGGATGGCCAAAAACGGGCTACAGTTGACGCCGAAGGTTACGGTGTTCAGCGTGTAGGCTCGAACAGGCGCGGTTTTGTCCGGGCGCCAGAGGATCATCTGGAACTTGGCGTCGCTCGGATGAATGTTGATGTATAAGTACATCTGCTGAATGTCTGCGGTCAGGGTGATTGGATGCTTGCGGAAGTTGATGATCAAGTCGCGTATGTCCGTCTGTAACTTGGGACCAGGAAGCAGGACTTGATTCAACGAGACCTTGGTAGAGGTCGGTGCGGAGGCGTCAAAAACGACGCGTAGCTTGGTCGTGCTGCTAGACTCCTTCACAACTGCGTGATGCGGAATGAAGTAGTGCGGTGCGGTTGCGGGCGGTATGGCGGCAGGAGACATGAATCCGTTGTTCTCGTACTCTTGCATAAACTTCTTGTAGGCCGCGTGAAACTCCGGCTCCTTCTCGAAGCGGCGTTCCAGGGCTCGAAAACGAACTTCAGCTCGTGCGAGTGACGTTCCCAGCGGCGGGTGTTCTGGCTTGAACGGAAGTCGGACGCAGTATCGTCCGTCTGCTCCTTGTGTTGTCGTAGCGGTGTAGAAGTTTTCCACGTATTCGTCGGTCGGGTCCTGCCTTGCTGCGGGAGCGACGTCTTCAATGGCGGGAAAATCTTCGAACAGCTTCGAGAGATTCGGCGGTTCCCGAGTGAGCAGCACCTTGCGACTCTCGGCGGCATCCTCCGAAGCGGTGCGGCGGGGTGCGGGTCCAAGGACGACGTAACCAAAGAGAGTACCCCAGGCGACGGGGGCCGGGGAACCCAGCTTGATGGAGTCGCCAGTCAGCGCCAGTGGCAGGAGATCAGCTCCTATCAGCATGTCCACGGGACCAGGCCAGTCAAAATCCGGGTCGGCGAGCGGCAAGCTGCGGCAACGAGCACGGATGGTCCTGGAGAGCACGACTGAGGGGGTGTGACCAGTAATCTTTGTCGACACGAGCATCCTGTGGTCGCAGGCGACGAGTTGCTTGTCCAAAGTGCTGACGTCCACCTCCACGGAACCCCTGACCTGAATGCCGGTGTCGTCCAATCCGGCAACAGGGGCGGCATGGCGAGCGAGCTTGAGATGGAGCAGCTGAGCGCAATGAGTAGTGACGATGGACACGTCTGCGCAAGAGTCCAACAGCGCCCTGGCAATGACGACGTGTCCGTTAGCGGATAGGAGTACTCGGGCGGTCGGTAGAACTACCGTCTGCTCTGGAATTCGTGCGATGAAAACCTTCTTGGTGTCCTTGACCTGGTCAGCCTGTCCTTGGGGGTCCTGCTTCTCGCATAAGATGGTGTGATGACGTTTTCCGCAACGGAAACAGTTGTGGCGCGATTCACATTTTCCAACGTCGTGATTTCCGAGGCAGTTGAAACATAGTTGATTCTTGCGTGCTGCGTTCATCCGTTCTGAAGGCGACATGTTCAATATTTGAGGGCAGCGGAACGCTTGATGACCTCGTTCGCACCATCCACAGAGATGTTTTCCAGCGTAGGAGTCCGTAGTGGTCGATGCGTTAGCTGAGATGTGCGGGGCCGACGAAGGTGAAGCAGCAGGAGAAGTATTTACAAGGGAAGAATCAAAAGCATGCGATTGCCGAGCAGAATTAGTACCACTACCATGCGAACGCTTACGTTGTTTACCATTAGCAGGAGACTGGGTTTGGTCGTTTTTAGCGAACAAAACCTTGGGGGACTTCTGAGAGCCGCTTTGACTAGACTGAGGCTTAGGACTTACAGGGTTGTCTAGAGCTTGAGAACACTCATCTTTCAAAAAGTTAATGAACTCTTCTAACGTTGGATACGCGCGAGGATCCGCACGGGATTCATCTAATTTGCGCTGCCAGAAGGGCGATAATTTTCGCGTGAGTACAGTAACTAACAAAGGACCATACGTTGCGTCCTCAATTTTTAACGAGGTGAGCGCGTTTTTATGTTCCTGCACTTTTGTGAGTAATTGCGGTATCTGAGCGCTATTCTTTATCTCCGGTAAGTCTAGTAATCCACCAAAATGATGATAGATATGTCGTTTTTCCGACTTATAGCGGCTCTTCAAAAGGTCCCAAGCAACACCATAATTTTCAGCAGTAGGATCAAGCGTTTTTACAAGCGAGAGTGCTTCACCAGATAAAGAGGAAAGCAAATAAGTGAACTTCTCAATTGGGGTTAGAGAAGCATTTTCATGAACTGGCACTTTAAACATACTATAAAAAGATGACCATTCAGTGAGAGTACCTGAAAACTTGGGCAGTTCAAGTTTGGGTAACCTAACTTGATTTTTCTGGCCAGGCGGTTGTGCTGTCTGGGGGGCTGGTGTGGCCGCCTCAGGTGTGCGCACTTGTGCGAGCAATGAATAAAACTTGTGATTTATCGCTCGTAAGAAAGTATCAACATCATCAGTAAATTTAGTAATATTAATGCGCTTTGATTTGCACTCATCAGGAATAGCCACATTAACTGCTACTGCTTGCTTTCTGACAATAGTAGCCTCAGCTTCTATAGCTGCTAACCTATTAATCTGTCCCTGGAAACTTTGGACAGTTTTTATAGAGAGCGCAAGTGCCTCCTCATGCAAAGAAGTTAGCGTGCGTAAAATACATTGCTCTTCAGCAATATTTGCTTGCAACCTTTGTTCTAGCTCCAAATCTAACGTTGCCATGGTTCTGATCAGGTGCGACAAACCAAATGAAATTGAGATAACGGAGCGCTTGAGCTAAGAAAATGTACACTAAGATTGCTAAAATACTGATAGCTTGAGGAAAAAGTGCATAGAAAACCAAACAAGAGACAGTGGCGCACTTCAAAAACACTGCGGCGAGCTGAGGAACTAATGCGTGCGGTGTAACTCTATGGAATGTTTGTCCATGCAGAGAAAAACAATGAAATACTATGTGCACTGATAAGGGATGCCCAAGTTGAAAATACTAAGCTTAAGCACACCCACAATGCAAAACAAGCACACAGGCAATGATAGCACTCACTACAAAATGATAACTGGGAAGTTACGATGATATGCGGAGATATTTAGGTTCGGAGAGGAGGCGAGGCGAGAACTGAGCATAAAATAACTGACCTCACTGCAATGAATGATGAAAATTATCCTAGCGCTGCATAAGCAGGTGAGAAAGTAGAGGGTGAGAGAGCTAAAAGCACCCACAATGACAAAAAATTCTCACAAGCTGCTCACAGCCATGTGCAGAGACAGTGAGGTTATACATTGAGCCAAATTGAGAGAACTAAAAATGCGGTTTTCGGTTGCGGTGAGCTGATTTTTACTAGAATGCGGGTGAACTCGTTAATCTTGAAGAAGACTAGTAATATTCTAGGTAAGAAATCAACCTTAACCTCACACATGTACGACTGAGGTAACTGAGACCGTGCTGTGCTGCGGGGAAACGTGGCCTCGAAGAAGGTGCAGCCTTCTAAGAGGTGAAACTCAGACACGATGAAACTCAAAATGATGGCTTAACATGCTCAATGGAAAAGGAATGCTGCCTTAAAATTAATGCCGATGATCAAAATGCTGTCTCAATCAAAGGCCCGAGGGACCAAAATGGAGCGTCAGGGCTGAGCTAAAAATATGAGTGGACTGTATAGGTGTGCCTCACCTCTCTCTCCGAAAACTGAATCCCCTCGAACCTAAAACGCGGTGGCGCTCAGCCGATCATCTTCCCAAAACCCTTTTTGTTTGGGAAGATGAGGCCATGCGGCGGTGTGCTGAACAGCGGTGGTGGGCTCTCAAGGCTGAGGTCTCCACATGCGGTGACAAAGGAGGCGGTAGTGACAAAAGAAAACTGCGGCTTACCGTGATGACGGCTAAAAGGAAGAAAGTGCAAACAAGCAAAGAAAGCAAGGTAAGCAAGAAATCCAGAGAAATCCTTGTGAACAGCAGCGAAACAGCTAAAACTCCAAATCCAGGTACGACGTACAAGCAGAGAAGCACTAATGAACTACATACAGACCGGTCGGTCAGCTGATCGCAAGCTCGAGCAAGCGTGGTGCGCGGAGCGCCCTCAGGCGGCGGTCGGGCGAAGTTCGCTAGGAACAAACGCCGCGGAGAGAGACAATACGTCGCGGTGCAACGCGTGTTGTCCGTGTGCGTATTGCGGGGGAAACTTCCGAGTTTCCAAATACCTGGTGGATCCGCTGTGGCGGGAACAGTTAGTAAATGCGCTTTACAGATAGACTGAAAGCTCCATATTCCAATCTACCCGAATAATTAAATTCAAAAGCATTTTTGAATTGAGTTCATATCGAATCTCAGTGGGAGAATAATAAACAGTGTAAGCGAAAGAATATCAATGGTAAGGTTGGGTTTGTGTCTTAGGTTAGTGAAATGCAATGGCAGGTTCTGAAATCTTGTTTGTCAGTTGCTCTTTACATGAGTCACCTTTGAAAATCAAGTTTAAGAAAAAAAACACATAGTTAGGCAAACAGTAGTAGGTAGCTTGCCTATTTTCTTCCTGTCTTGCTCATGGACTCGGAGAGCAGTCGGAAAGAGGGGTGAGAAACAGGATTTCAGCTCGTGTCTCTGGGAATGTGGAAACTTAAAATTTGTGAAGCGTCATCAGTTTGTTGAGATTGTCACCGTTCGTTGCCTCAAGAGGATTTAGACGCTTCTGCTTCAGCGATACATTGTTGACCTATCAATATCCGCTTATTTTAATCATATTTTGAAGGAGCGATTCCCATAAGTATTCCCGATTAGTTATTTGTTTCACTACAATAATGGCAGACATAGGTACAATCTTTACGACACCATGGAGTAAAGGTGCAGTGCTTTACTGGATTAGCACTCCTACACTTTCAATGCCTATATCTACCTATTGTAAGATCATTAGAAGCTCAATAAACAACATGATGAATTTCTGCGCCTGCCACAATTATTTTTAACATCACTAAAATTACATATGATGGCAACTTTTCTGAATTCAGAATATAAGCTCGAGCATGATTTAAAGGGTTGTTGAGATTACTTAGGTATTCATTCAATTTTTAAATATGAACGTAAAATGATTAAAAATCCACTGTCATTTTTCCAACTGTTGCTCAGAGAGTCAGTAAAGGCTTTTCTAGTGAAGATGAAGCCTCCGCTTATATATTGCGGAAAAATTGTGGAACATACACGGGATAAAAGAGTAATAATAATTTTATTGAATCAATTCATAGTGAAAAAATGAAGTATAGCTTGTGAAAATGGCGCCAACGCATGAAATTCAAGTTCAATCGAAAATATGCGCATAAACAGCGCCAGAATCGGAAAGTTTGATTTCCCGCGAAAGTCGGGTTACAGCGCCCGCATAAATCCGACGGCGAAAACTTGCATTACAAACTCGGGTTTCGTGAAACCTCGATTTCGAGCCTCGCACAAACGTAGCTAGTGTGACACGGCACCCTTATGATTTTATACTATAGAGTAAGATATTGCCAATCATTTTACCTTCAGCATATTTTCAAGATTTGTGAAGGAACCATTGGCTTGAATGACATTTTCAACAGCGATTGACATCTTGAGTGATGAATAGTTTGCCGTAAAAGCTTAAATGCACCGCGATTTCTACCATGCATAGATTTTAATGGAGAACCACCATGCTGATTCACAACTCCATTGTATGAATGTTACTAAAATTAGTAATTTTCCCACGTTCATATTTGCAATGAAAGTCCATTATTTGGGACACTTAATATCATTATTTATGGCGAGCCATATTTTCGTCATAACTGTTAATTTCTGTTCAAAATTTTGATTCCGATTTCCGGCAGATCCGTTTTTATTCTTTGAAAATGTGCAACAGCCGACCAAGTTGGCGGAGTGGTCAGCGCGTCTGATTTCATGTGAAAAGATCCTCGGTTCGAATCACATTATTGAGGGTGCCACATTCTCACTCTCACGAGTAAACTTGCTGAAATAGATTCCTTTCGGTCATAATGCATGGAAATTTAAAAAGCCTGAGGACAATTTTAAGGATGCTGTGAGCGCTTTGGAAGATAAACAAAATTTTGGGTTACCGTGGCACCAAAAATCGCGGTTGAAAGGTGTGTTAAATTGGTAACAGAAGCTATATAAGTATCAGTAGGTAGTCGGCGTAGAGAATAGACACAGATCTACAAGAGCAACTACGTTGAGTATAGTCTGTGCAAACCAATTAGACAGTGTAAAAATTCGGGCATTTTCGGGCGAGCCGAGAATTGCAACGTCGGATCCCGGCGAGGAGCCGCTGGGTCAGCGCTGAGCTCAATGAAGTATTGTTCCCATTGTGTCCACGCCGGGCCTTAACCTGGTGGCCGGACCCTTGTCATTAAGGCCCTCTAGCTACTGGTGGACCAAAAATCGTACACCAATTTTTTTATCATCTGTGAATTTGTCCTTCATTTCAACGAATTCAGATTCATCTTGCAATCTTGATGAAAAATACGTATAATTATAGGTAAATGTAATGAAACTATTCCCTTTCTTTCCCTCCCTCTTTTTTTAGCTCCGGGAGGGGGGGGATCTCGCCATCGCCCCCCCCCCCCCCGGATCCGCCCCTATTCAGTGGGTTGTATCAAATTTTTGATCAAAAATTCGAGTTCTACGAGTAAGATTACTGAGGAATCGATATTTTACTTGCCAAATTAAAATTCTGGAGCAAGATGCTGAGCTCCGGGATTATTAACAGTTCGCCATTTTGAGGCCAAAAACGAGAGTCAAAATTCCTGATCTTTCGTATGCGGGCTAAGTATATCCTCAAGAGAATCTGTGCAAAATGTCAAGCAAAAATATGCATTTCTCTCCGAGTAACAGATTATACGCCGCCTCAGGGTCTGTTGCGGCGCAGGTACCGGCGTGGCAGTGCGGTCTGAAGCCGTACTTGTGCGAGCAAAGTGAGGATGCGCGCTATAACGCCCATACGCGTTGGCCATTTTGAGGGTCAAGTAGTACCCAGAGAAGAAAAGGTATAAGAAACTTCTTTGTGCATATTTTGACGAGGAACATTTTCCCAACTAAACGCAACTTGCTATCCCTAACCGTTCTCGAAATGTAGCCGAAAAATCTATATTTTAGCCTTGTGGGTGGAAGGGAGGGGTTGGAGGCTGAGGGGCTAAGCACAAGAAATATCAACGGGGGTTTTTAGCCTGTGTCTCTCCAAACCCTAACAAGCATCTCTAGCCAAACATCGCTCGTAAGGGAATTTTTCCCTCTAATTTTCCCACTTTGATTGGACTGGTAACATGGGTGTCCTAGAGCACCCTTTTTTCTCGATTCATTTAGGTCTAACGAAGTCGGTGACCGCGGGGTTGAATAGGAGATTGATCTTCAGGAATCCGAAGTTAATGGTCTCGAAACCCCCCTAGCACCCCTGGGGGGGGGGGGGGTAAAGGGGGATCACGGTCCTAAAAGTTGGGGTTATCGATCGAATTCCGATTCGATTTCATTTGCATTGCATTGTACGGAAAATTTCACGCGAAATCGAGCCCTATAAATTTAAAATCGGACCACTTTACGCCCAAAATTGATCCCTTAAAGAGAAGGACAACAGCCTCCTCCATAATAACCCTTTCAGTCTTGGCAACTAAGGAAAAGAGCCTGCAAAAATCCTGATTATGGCCTGTAATTCGGCCGAAATTGATCTGGCGACAGTTTAGTTGTCTTCAAAATAAAGCTCGTTTTTCCTATAA